TGACACACAGCAGATGGATGAAATTAAACCAGTGATTTTTGTCTTTACTTTCTTCCAGTTTGTTTTCTTTTTTATGTTTACACCACACAGTATTTGGTACAAGGTCTGTTTCTTCCCATGTTCAGTTACAACCACATACCACCTGCCCTTGACTCTTATGTGCAGCTATAAAACATGTTGCTGCCCATGCATGTTCTCATAAACAAGGTACTGCAAAAGAGAGATGTTCATGATTGGGACACTCCAAACCTACCTACAGCATAACAAACTAATTCTTCAGTATCAGACAGTTGGCCATCTATATGTTAGGAAGAACTATTATCAAATGTGGTTTGATTTTTTTGGTGTTTGTTTTTCTGGGGGGTTAGGGAAGGTTTTTCACTTTTTTGGAGTTTGCCTGTTTTTTTTATCCTTCTCTCCTTTCTTCTTTACAGAGCTTTCTTTACTGAGAAAAGCTGAAGATACCTCACTGGCTTCAGTATGAAATGAAAAATGTTGCATTACTAAGTAATACTCACCATCACAACCAAGTCAAAAGGGGCTTCCACAAAAGAAAAGCCTCAAACAGTAAATGTGACATGACAATATTTATTGATTCTAATTAAGGTTAAAAAAAGGTCACAGCTGTCAGATAAAAATATCTGCAGAGCCTATTGAAAAGGGAACTTAAGAAGGAAACCAAGGGAGACAGTCACCACAGAGGCACTTGAGAAAATGCTACAGTTATAAAAGGCACAAATTTATCACACACACAGCATATATATTCCTGCAACGTGAAGTCACTCTTTTTTTCCAAAACACAGAGGCAGGCACCACTGAACACTGACCTGTACATGGCCACAGGAGACACGCTAGAAGCAGCAGTCTATGACAACGCCTAAACGATTTGACTGTAGAGATACTTTGAAAGACTGCTTTGGCCACCCCGTTTTTATGTCTACTGAAGAACAGATTATAAGATCAAGGTGATCTTGCAGTGGTGGAGAGGGGAGAGGGAATGGTAGTCCATTTAAACACAGGTCAGGTGTATTTGTGAGCATTTGTAACCTGCGATTTAATGCAGTGGCAGATCTATTGTCATTCAACCCTGGCTCCCTTCTGCATCCAAATGCTTTTGGAGGACGTACAATTCCTTCTTCCTCAAAAATATTTCTTTCATGTCTCAAAAAAAAGAAAAAAAGGAATCTTAAAATTTCTGCACTTCTGTAAAGTCTACCTCAGTGAAACAATAGTCCCATTGAGGACACAGGAAGATTATTTTAAGAGAAGTCCCTAGCTTCTCCTCCAGGCCTTGGGTTCCAGTAATGGACCATGCTCAGACACACAGTTAATTATGATTCATGTCTTTGTTGTATTGACAGCAGATGTGCTATTTGGAATCAAGACCTGGACTGAGAAAAAAATGCACTAGTTAAAGACAAGGGGCTGCCTCAGATTGCACACTTACTTGTTATTGTCAAGTAGTTTATACAATTAGCTTTTAAGTACTTTGGTTAACACAGATTTTCATGCCGTGACCCAGCATCCTTTGTGATATACAGTTGCTACCAGAACAGTGTACAAGAAAGTGAACCTTTTTTTTTTTTTTTTCATACTCTTAAGAGCCTTACAAAATATGCATGGTAACACAAATCGAGTCATAAAAGACAAATACAATTATTTCCATGATTGTTCCTATTATACATTTTATGAAGCTGGTAAACTGCTGGAACTTTCATGATACCAGATTTCTCATCAAACGTGTTAATAAATTAAGAATACAGCACGACTGGTTACCCGTTAAGCCAGACTTCATTCCTCTCTTTGAAGGGTTGGCACAAAGGAACTCTTAAAATGTAAGCCAGAGCTAACAGTTCCCTCTAGCCATGGGGAGCAACTTGGGTCTCTACCTACACTTGTCAATTTTCCCGTCACACTGGCATCCACATACACAAAGTGCCACATATTCCTTTTATGTGGAAGATGTCAAGAAAACGGCAGCAAATCCTTCTTTTTAATCCCATAGTGGTGATAAACTCCTCAGCATAATCATAGCAAGACACGGCTGTAAAGACAAAGAGAGCATTCCTAATGCCTTGGCAGTCTGGGAGGAAGAAGATAGAGACTTTTGAGTGCTAATACAGATGTTGCAATTCAGATCTCCCAGCTCCATCAGATCTGGCTAGAAATCTCAGGGCATCCAAATTTAATTTGAGACCTTAAGTCGCAACTACTTTCAGTTGTGGCAGAATAACCTGAGAAATGCTTTGCGTGGGGTATTTTTTCTATTTTTGTTTCACTTTAAAACTAAGAATAAGAAAGGTTTATAACTACATATTTTTTTTTTAAATGACAAGTGTCACAAAAAGCTTTGGTTATGATTCCGTTCAGTTCTAACTATACCTAACTTCTGTTTTTCCTTGGATTTTCTGCTCCTGTGGCACACAACATTTTCTTGCTAGACTCGGTAAACCTCTGCCAGATTCAGGAGCAAAGAAGAGAGAGATACATTTTGGATGTGAATAAAACCAATTTATTCTCATTAGTCTCATGGATCTGCTCCTCTTTAGAGACCTGCAGAGTATTTCTACAACAGAAGCAGGACTTGAATTCCAAACAGTTTTGGCAGAGAACTCATCTGCAAATGCAGTAGTTCTTTCTATGTTAAGTATGTATTCGCCGTCTAGCACTTACAAATACCGGGCCAAGACTTCAAAAATGTCTTCCCAAATTTAGGTTCCTATGTTTATTTCCTGCTTGAGAATTGTTTGAGTCACTACAGCTCTGAAGTTACACAGTTCCCATTCATCTTCTGGCTCCTAATTCATTTAGTAAATAAATCACACAGAGAGTAAACCACATAGAAGCACTCTGTGGCAGGCAAATGTCCCAGCCAATTAGCGCTCTATGTGATAGAATGGGAAAGGCCATATGTGCACTGCTGCACTGTTCTTCTGACTTAAAGATCCTTATGTCTGAAAAGTTCCCCTATGCATTTTAAAAGGCTGTTATGAGGATATTCATTTGTGATAAAATCCAAGCTGCCGCTACAAGATTTTTAACTGGCACATGAAGTTAAAAAGAATGAAACCTAAGGGCCAGAAACTGATGCACTGTTCACAAATACTACAGCTTCATAGGTAGTTCAGTGAATTTCCACGGGACTATTTGGAGAATGAAGTACTACTCTGCACAAGCAATATCAGATGCTAGCCCAAAAAGACTGCCTGAAACTGGTGATACAGTTCCTCCACCGTCTGCTCACACTAGTTGCTGATATATTATTACACTTCCCACCATGGCTTTTTACTGCAATTTTTTTACATATAAATCGGCACTGGTTGAAGGGAGAAGTGCAAACAGGCTCAGAAAAATTCCAGACATCTCAAACTTCATGTGCACCAAACCCTGTTCTCAGTTATACCTGTCTCTTCCTGTTTTGTGTTGTGCAGATGTAAAACAGCAGAAATACCCAGAACAAGGTACCATCAGGTTGACACGTAGGCACCTAAGGTTTTGTGGGATTTTTGTTTCTTTTTTCTTCTTTTTTTCCTTTCTTTTTTTCACACTGTTTAAAAGGTACCAAGCTAGGGAGGGCAGAAGCCCTTGCATGTGACCATCCTATCCATGGTTCTCTTTGATCTCTCTATCATTTAGATCCTTGATTAGTTACCAGAAGTGCACAGCCAGCACAACACAGCACAGCAGGCAGACGTGGAAGTGCTAATCCCATCAATACAGCTGTTAGAAGAGACTGAGGCTCCAAATCAGCTAAGCTGTGTTCAGCATGATGCAAGTGCTGGGGGGCAGTTAAGCTGGGTTTGTTGGTTGGTTTTTTTGTTTGCCCTTTTTTTTGGTTGGGGTTTTTTTTTTCCCTAATTCTAACACTACATTTCCAAGCCCACTGCGCTACCAGGCAAGAGACAGCCTCAAGATGTTCAGAGTATAAATTTAAAGTACATGAAAGAAAGCAAGGAGATAAGAAAAAAAATACATAAAAGGTTTTTATGGACGGCTTTGCAACTTCCTGGGGCAAGCAGAGATTAATTCATGCTCTTGCTACCTTGCAGCAACTCAGGGAGCTAAAAGAGGCAGAGAGATGTCAGACAGGGTGAAAAAAGGTTCGAAAGGCTGCGTCTGTGCATTAGCACAAGGTTCCTGGTTCACACTGGGGTCCACCAGCCTGGTCTGCCATACTGCTGTGCACATCAGCTATAGTCTGGGCCCTGCCAGTTTTCTGGGCAGAGGAGATGTGACCCGGCACAGGGACGGACTTGACTGGGACACACAAGCTCTGCCATTCCAGGTAGTGGGAACACAGCTAGGGAGGCTGAAATTCAGCCACACCGCCAAAGGCAGTAAAAACATTGTCCGTGAACTCACTGTAGGACAAATATGCCACTGGAAATGCCAGCAACCTATGGCCACACTTGCATAGCTTGGAAGGATAAATTTAGCCTGACTTGCCCCTTAAGTGCTGAGTAGGCTCTGGACATATGGGTGAAAAATAAAAACACTAAAAAGATCCTTACCAGAAATTTCCATTCACTAGTTAATTATTCTTTAACCTATGGATTTCTTTTCTCAGTCTACCACACAGGAAGGCACACGCAAATCTCTTTGTTTACAACTAGAGATGGAAGTGCCTGTGAAGACTTAGAGTTCAGGGTCTGGTTCAGATGTAAGTGTAAAAACAACTGGAAATCTCAGCAGAACAGGCTTTACAGAGGTATTTTGTTACTTCTGTTCTGAAATCTGGATAAAAACCTCCAGGTGATAGCACTTGGCAGAGTATTCTAGAAATTCAACAACCAAAAAGTTACTGCCAGAAGTAAGTTCGGATTCAAGGGATTCTTTTTCAATTTGGATCCCCTTCCTTTATCCCTCCCCTCCAACCTCTTCTCTCTACTGTTTTCTGCTCTTCTCCAGACCTGATCTGATTTTGGAGACAGGGAAGTATATGCCAAAAAAACCTCACGAAGAAAACTGCTCAAGTGTGAGGGTTTGCACTGGCACCTTTTTCAGTTTTGAACTAGAAGTCCCTTTTTGTAGGCAAATAACCCAGCCACAGCCACAGAGGTGAAGAACATGGAAAATCCGATCAGCTTTAGCAGTCCTGGCACAGATGGCAAGTTTCTCTCCCAGAAGGTTGTAGTGATGGGCAAAGCTGGAACATCCTGTGGGGAAAGCATCCATTATCAACATAACATCTCCACTGCAAGAGGCAGGATGAAAAATCGAGAGATTCTTGCGGCGGAAACAGAAGTGGGTTGAAGCAATTCATGTTATCAAGAAGTAGTGTATTAAAATTTTTTGCTCAGTTAAAGGGAAGCAGAGGCACATGGAAAGGATTCACAGCAGGGTTAAAAAGTGCAGTTCTCTCTGATCCTGCATTATAGAGTTGCCAGATAGGTGCCCCCTCTGAGTTTCTATCATGTTCCTGTTTAGGGAAGGGCAGTTTTGGTGAGTAAGGGGAAGTTTACTGTGGCTCTGATTAAAGTGAACTTAAATAAAAACAGCCAACAAAATTTTATCTCATCAGCAAAACCACAGGAAAAAAATAATCCATTTAATCTACAGAAAGACTTACAATTGATTCAGGTTCTGGCTTCCAAATTTCACTGTCTGGGATTTTCCTCATAGCAAACAGTATCTGAAAATAAATAACATTCTCTAGTAAGTACCATTCATTCTTTATAAGTGAAAAAGAGCTGGCTTCGATTTTTGTTTTAAAATGGCATTATAAAGATAACAATTGAGCATATAAATCTCTGTGTATTCAGATTTTAAAAGAAAATTCAACATTTGTAAAATCCATTTTTGGAGAGACCTGATACTTAAGAAGACACTCCTCCTAGTGGAAATTAGAAACAGTAACAGACGCTTTGTTAGTCCATGAGAGCTATTGGAACTCCACGAGTCCCATGGGAACAGGGTAATATGAATATGATTGAGAGTTAAACGTACACTAATGGCATAGTGAGGCATGCATAAACCAGCTACTGCATGGGCAAGCTATATACCCATGAGTAGCTTGCTTTGCTAATTTTACCATGATGTAGGAAGAGGAACAGAATCCTGTGAGTGATGAGAGACTACCACTTTCAGCCAGAGAAAAGCAAGATTAAAAAGAAAACCTTCACAATGGAAAAGTAACCATTCAAAGTACCAAAGATACCAGAGATCAGTAGGATGGCAAAGATTATCTGAAATGACAGTCATGAAAGACAGTATGATTAACTTCTACAGTAAAACAAAATGGAGGTAGTGATATTAATGTTTTTCCTATTCCAGGCACTTGTAGATTTAACAAGATTAGCTGTCTTTTATGACGAGCTTTTATTCTAGTCAAGATTCACAGACCCCATCAACTTTTCAATACAGGAGAGTGAGAAACACCCTTGCACTGTATTTTAAACATATTTTCCTTTCATAACTAAACGAGGAAAGGAAAACAACAAAATTTTTACCAAACTCACTTGCCTACGACTCTGCTGAGGCCTAGGAGGTCTGCTCTAATGCCCTTACATTAGGGAGGGCAGGAAGCACAACCTCTGGAGGTTTTCAGGAACAGGTTTGGTATAGCCTTCACATATGGGACAGCTGATCCCTGTCTTTTGGGTTGGTGGTATGGGCTAGATGAACTCTCCAGATCCCTTCCAGGCCCATTTCTGTTCTACGACTGCTGTTTTTAGCCACAAGGTTCCCTTCAGATCATAAAACGAAGATGAAATTTGTTTGCTGCTCCATAAACGGTAATATTCATGAAAATATTTGAGGAATTGGCATTTTCTCAAAAGCAAAATATTTAAGTCCTTGTTTGATGACTGTATGTAAGGCTGCCTCACTGATCTATCCGTGTGACAATGGTATTGTTGGAAACAGTTGGGGAAGGGACTGGCTTGGTCTGCAGAGCTGCAGAACTGAGCTGTTCCTCATGAGACTAGCAGTCATGATTTCTCAGTATGATGAATAGTAAAGTGCCCATTTGGAGGGAAAAGTGACTAGGTGAGAGTTTGGGATTTCTCTTCAACAAGAAACGATTTCATTTCTGGAAACAGAGAAGAGTTTGACGAAGTTGTCAGAGCCTTTCCCAAGCATTCCAAATCTAAGTGCAAAACCTTCATCCTTTTTGCAGTCTATCCCCTTCTCAGGGATTTGCACCAAGATTTCAAAATGCCTGAAGCTGTCAACGCTCAGTTCCCATTTCATCGCCAACCAAAACACCCTTCATTTTCCATAGGATATTTGACAGTGCTCCCTGTTTTGGTCTTGTGTCTGTACCTCTCTGGCTGCTCTTTCTCCAGCCTGCACAGCCCCCTCCATGTATCCGCTCCACTCTGTGGCTGTCTCTGTGCCAGCGAAATAGATCCTGCCAACGGGCTGCCGAATAATCCTGGAGGGGGACAGCAGTAAGTCACATCAGCCGTATCAGGAAGGATAACTGAAATCCTTGGGTTAATATTAGAATTAAAGTGCTTTAAATAACAGCGAGCACTTAAAGGTAGTTACTTTGTGAGTTGAGCTGGAGGGAGAGCCTGCATTGCATTTCATTTTACAGTCAACACACCACTGTTCATATTTTCTAAATTATTTACACTGCTCGTAGGTGTTAAGGACAATTAGTTAGAGATGAGACTTCTTCTATGTCACTATTTTAGCCATGTAGTTAGATTATTAGTGTCATAAATACCAATGCTAGGCATTACTGGCACAGTGTAGCATTCTGAAGTACATCCCCATGATACCTAAAAGTAGCAAGTGAATTAAAAAAAAAAAAGATATTTTACTGTATTTTTCCCAGAATTTGCAATAATTATCACTAAAATTACTTCAAATACTATGGCCCCCATAAACACTTCATTACAACTGCTTTATTCCTCTCAGATATTTTTAGATTGTGAAAACTTATACTTCAAAAGCAGGGCTATGCTACTATATTAAAAACTATGTATCCGAATCCAATCACCGCTCTGACTAGTAAGCCTTTTCCTTTTTGGTAAATCTTCCTTTCATGCAAAAACTTATGTCAGAGAGGACTGTATACAATGGCACACTAATTACTATATTAAGCCTTGAGTGCTAAAAGGAAAGGAACAGTCCAAAGAAATAACTTTTTACTGTTAAAGTTGGCAAGCATTAACTCTTTGCCAGTATTTATAAAACACCAGCTAAAGATGCATCGGAAATAGTAACACCGATCTCATATATCCAAAGCCAGTTTTGTAAACAGATTGCGAAAGCTTCCCCACTCCCTTCCAAGAACCTACTCAGCTGTATTCACCAAATAACAAAAGTGAATAAAACCCCCTAATGATACTGTACTCATCCATCACAAAGCCCAACTGAGACAAGTGGAAGGTTCCAATATCTGTTTAAAATATTCCCCAGTGGTCTTAAAGGTATAAAGCAAAGAGTGACAGAGGATTTATGACCATTTCTGAGGATATTTATTAACTTGGTCTTATCTTACTACTCCAAAGCCCACTATAAATAGACACTGTACCTTCCATACTGAGTCATTATGCCCGGTGGGAAGTAGGCTGTGTAGCAGCCCCCAGAATACTGCTCTTCACACCAGTTCTTCTCTTCATAATGCACTGCCTGTAAAACACAGATTAATTCACTCAAGGAAAGGACAAAGTCCTGAGGAAGCTAATAAAAGAACTGAGGAGACAGCAGAGAAGAATAGCTTATGATTTGTTGCATGTCAATATCTGACAAGATGAGCACATTTAAAAAGTCTCTTAATGCAGCACGGATCCAACACAATAAACCTTAATTTTAGACACTGCTAGCTATTTTTAAAAAACCACCTAATCTGGCCACTGTAGAACATAATCCTCTTAATCTGTCAATGTAAATTTATGCTTTGAGCCATGTAAAGCAAAATTAACCTCTGGTGTACACAATGTACATATTACAATAGCTGTAATATGTACATTGGATACAAATACATACTGTTAAAAATGCAAAGTATGGCACTTGCACGGTTCTGTATACAATATCGTTCTGTTTAAAATTATGTAATCCCAAGCTTGGTGTCTATAACATTTAATTTGCATAAAATTGCCCTTAAAGGATAAACGGTGTTGATCACAAGCTAAGTGCGAGATCACACAAATCCTATCATTTACCATTACCGGGAAGAGAAGGCAAGGGAAAGGCAAAAAGCCCCAAGCACATGCAGCAACAGATCTTAGCAACTAGTAAGAGAGCAGAAACATCAAGCTCAACATAGACTGAGAGGGAAAAGCAAGCCTGTCACATGTGAAAACAGCTGAGATGTATGGTGGTAAGCACTGTGAATGCCCCCATGAAGCTGGACAAGAACATATCTCCCTTTTAACTCTTTCATAAGCTCATTCTTCTCCTCTCTGTCAAACACAACCCAAGACTTGCCACAACCTTTTCTCCATTCCTCTACAGATGGCAGCAAGTGCTCCCGTAATGGGAACCTTTTCCAAAATTTTACACAGCGCTGCAGCAGAGCACTGCTGCATTCCGGTTTCATTCTGCCCTTCTCCAGCTCACAAAGTCTCACAAGAGATGCCATGGTTTACATTTTGTGCTTACATGTAAAGCTTCCTCTGATCCCAGAACCTTTGCATAGAGCTCACACAGCCTCGTCTTCCTGCAAGAGAAAAGCAACAGAAGACTTCTGTTTAAGGAAAGAGAAAACAAACCACCTCTCATCTATCCTGCTTTCAAGAGAACAAGTGTTAATATCTCCTTCAACTTGAGGTTCCAGCTCTTGGGGATCTATCCTAATTGCTAAGCCTCTGGATCACTAGAAATAACTCACTCCAGCTCCTGTGATGCGTAAGTGCTGGTATTACCAGCAGTTATGCAAGCTGTTCCCTTAGGACACCTCTAGCAGCCCACATTCATATATTATCCAAAGGTTCTCTGGACTGTCAGAAAAAGACAGTAGTAAGGCATTGCACCTTTTTGTCTTGGCATACAGTCTGACTTATGGATTGTTCCTACAAAGACACAGGTACTGATAGCCTGAGGCTCTCAGGGAATCAGCACTTTATTTCTGTATCTACAAAATCTCCTCCTGTTTTAGTTTATGAGTATATAAATCCATGAATACACTTCATTCTGTAGGAAACCCCGAAGTGCAATTAAGTTTGTTCCTACAAGCTTTTGGGTATTACTCTTTACCGTTAGCCGCACTGCACCAATTCCCAAACACAAGAAGATCAAGATGAAATAATGGTTAACAATTATGAAAACCAAACACAACACTGGAAAGACGTTTACTTCTGGAATAAAATCCTGTGCTCCACAGAATGCTGTGCTGGGCACAGAAACACAGCAGTCCCAGCTCTCTAATTGCATGGGCGACACTTGCAGATATATCAGCATAAGGAAGCCACATCTATACTGCTGTATGAAGCAACGCAGCCATACCCACAAGCAGCTGAACTCAAGGAATGCTATAGAAAGGGAATGAAGAGAGAAAAAAAAGAAAACAGGAAGACCTGAAAGGCCCTGAAGAAGGTGTCCTCCTGCGCAGGTTGGGGTTTACTACAGCTCAGGGAGAGCCGTGGCCCTGGGGCCATCTTGCTGCTGGCAGGGGGGAACGAAGAAGCCCCGTCCCTGTGCCCTGGGCCTGAGGACAAGGGTCAGCCTGCTTCAGAAACAGGAATGCATGGTGGTGCAGTGACTGGCCAGGAGGGCTCAGAGAGCTGCAGGATCTATACATGAATAAAGCCATTTAACAGCAGTCCAGCAAAGCCTCTGCTGAGGTCTGCCCGCTGCCCCTCACAAATGCCCACCGGCTCCTGCTTGCAGGGCACGTCAGTAACATCACGGGGCTGCATGGGAAAGCGAGTACCACCTTGGGACCCATCTGCTTCTGCCCCTCCCAGCGCCACGACAGGGGTGAGAAGCACCCCTCTAGATCTGCCCGTGCCCTGCCCTTTTTCCATGCGTGACTTGCAGACCCTCCCAGGAGCCTGGAAATGGCATACCAGGGGCTGGTAGGGATCCGCATGTACAGCCAGCTGCAGGGCTCCAAGAAGGTGCAAGTTCACTGCTGTTTGCTAACTACATTGCAAATACAGATAAAGTTAAAGATAGCCATGCAAAACAAAATATTAAGCTCCAGGTCAAGGGCATCCTCAGATTCTTAAGAAATTTCGACCTTGGAAGGAATTATCCATCAATAATAAGGTATTATTTGACTGAAAAAAATGCCACAGAAAAGTAGTTTTCTAAAGGATTGAATTGTACCAACAGTAATCTATCACCAAGGACATTCCCTCTAATAAGAGCAATCCTTGCAGATGCGCTGGTCTTTCTCCAACATCTGCACTTTTTGTCCTACAACAGTTTAAATAAATACTTATTCATGAATTTACGGTTAATGCTAGCACGGAACATATGGAATATGCAATGAGTAAAATCCTTTTTTCTTGGCTTTGGACTTGGCTGTGAAATTGCCACCAGCACTAAGTAAGAGGAATGTTATGCCTGCAACTACCTAGGCAGGGTCTTGCTGAGAGTTGCACCATGCCCAGTGTGGAAGAAGTGCACATGCAGAGACTCAGCTCTTATCCCTGATCTCTTATTCCACGGCAGTGTGTGATGCCATCACCTTTGCTGCAAAGCTGTGAAAGGTAGGGTACAACCTCACCACTGTAATTACTCATTGGCACCTGGCCTGGGAAGACCAGCTGGAAGGCAGCAGTGAGCTTTACTCCCTTCATTCTGGCTTAGGCTGTAAAACAGTTTCCATCCCCTCCCACAGCTGCTGTTCTCAGACATGATTTAGGATAGCTGCCATGGACTCTACATCCTGCTCTTCTCCATCCTCTGCAGCATGCCACAAGAAGCCTCTCCTCCGAAGTGATCCCTCCCTGCAAACACAAACTGTTTGTGCCCTGAGTGTACACTGGGAGAAGGTCCGGGTTCACACTCTGCCTTCTCCCAGGCCCCAATTTCCACTGGAAGGAGCCTTGTGCTCACGTTCACGAGAGGAGCTGCAGCCCAGCCCAGCACGTCCCTGCCTTGGCTGGCTGCGCCAGGACTGCAGGAACCAGAGGGGTACCCCCGCACCAGGCGACATCTCTCAGGTACCCACCCAAGCATATTTCACAACCATTCTTTACCAAAGCAAAGTCCTTCCTAGTCTAAGGTTTAGCCCTCAAAAGACAAGAGTTCAAAAATCCTTTTATTTAAAACCTGGCCATAGGCAGCAGCAGAGTCAGAACACTGTGCTAATGCTTTTAACGCGGTGCCTTGCAAACAGCCAGCACAGCCCTCCATTCCACAGAAACTCTTCTCAAATAGTGCAAATGCTCAGTTGTATCTAGTGTATTGACACACAGCATAAGACACCATTTGGTGTTTACGATGGCTTAAAATGCTGGGCACACTGGATTTCAGAATACCTATGCTACCTTTATCGCCAGTCACCTGCTGTGGGTCTGTCTCAAAGCCTGAGTGCAGAGGAAAAGGCTGCCTTGTCCATTCCTGCCAAAATTAAAAGTACTCTGTGGTACCAGGCTGTCATTTGAAAAGGCTGGGACATTAACAGCCCCATTTAGACCCATTATTCACAGACTGCTAGAATACCTGCAAAGCTAATCTGAGATGACTACATTTTCTCTAGTTAGACTAGCTATTACTGCAAAAATGTTTACTTGGACACAGTATTCCTTGTGGCATGCTTCAAAAACAAATGTGTTTTCTCCACATCAAAATAAGGCTCTCTTCATGTCCACACTCTCTACTTGTAGCTTTAATTTGATCAGATACCACGAATCAGTGCGATGGAAAAAAACTCACTACTTCATAAATTCTACTTTAGAAATAAACCTAAGAGCACTATTGTACATAGAAATTTGTTTCAAGAAGACAGTAAAAAAGACCTTCATCTGTGACTGAAGGGCACTTTTTTCCCCCCATAACTGAGGGTAGAGAGGTGGAAGCAGCTTTTTGACCCTTTCACGATGCTGAGGCCTCGTTCATGGCAACTATAGCTGCCTCAAGGTTGCACTACGTTACAGAAAGGAAAGTACCCTCCACAGTGATCAGAAAAGTCGTCAAGCAGAGTGGCCAAACCTGTCCCTTCTGACAAGCTTTCAAAGAGCTCAGCGCACTTGCAGGAACACGGCGGAGGGGGATGAGGCTGGCCCTGGACCCTTTCCAGCAACAGCAGCAGAATATTTACATTACTCTCATATTCAGCAACTTAGAGCAGTTCTTACACTAGAGTCACATAAGCAGAGCAGCCCTGCTGGAAAATGAGAACAAGGATCAGAGATTTTCCAAAGGGCAGGGACTGGCTACCACATCTGCTCTGGTTTGTGGGAGTTCTGCAGGGCCTTCATCCAAAACCAAGTAAGGTATCTTCTTCCTACTGTCACAAGGTTACAGACAACTTCCTTCAAATCAGGGCATTTTTTCCTGCTCTGGTCATTTATAACAACATTTTTACTCAGATTCCACGCAGATCTCCAGTCTTTGTACTTACCTTTCTTCTTTTGTGAGACCTGTCAGTCTTCTACACTTCCGAGCAAGGATGAAGCTGTAGGAAGACCACAAGCAATTTACTTCCATTATGTTACTACATCTCCTGCATTATTTAAAATGCCAATACCTTACGATGGGATGCTGTGAATCACAGTATTAGCTTTTGGGTCTCTACCCAAAATATCCATTTCACCTCTCTGTGTAATGCTATACGCTCCACTTGCTACCTGCAGGACTCACTGTGGAAGGAACAACTCTAAGATTCAGATTAGACTATTTGTATGATACAAATGACCCAATGACCGTAACTTTATACAGCAGTGGGTGTAAGCATACAGCAACAAGAGGTGAAGCCTGGGATTGCACTGGAAATTGTTGTTTAATAAACTTTCTAAGACTGATCATGCTCTCTGGCTGTTTAAAGAAAAAAAAACAGAAAAAACCAAAATATAATTCTAGAAAACAGATTTTCATTTAAATAACTGGAAGATTTGGGGGAGACAAAACATTTGGAGAAAACTTTACATTTCTGCAATCATCCCCTTCTTTCTTCTTCTTCCTTTCCTCTACTGCAATTTTGTACTTTGCCATTCAAAAAGGCAAAGACAACAGTGAGAAAAGAAGAAAAAAATGTAATTTTTTTTAAAAATGGCAATTAAATCAGAGAACATTTTTTGCAAGAAAGAGATCATAGAATGTATTCACCACACACTGAGGAACTCAACCCTTTAAATATTTCGAAGTATTTCCCTTCAAAAGTAGCAGGTTTTCCATTTTGATTGTTGCCTCTAAAAATAAAAAGGCATTAACTAGACACTTTCTTTGCCTCTTACCCTATTATGGCAGGAAAACTGCCATCAGGCTTAGTATCATCAAGTGTTAAACCAATTGCAGCATCCTCATCTTCAATGATCATGGTACCGCAATACCCTGTTAAGCACAAGGTGGAGAAGAACTTAGAATCCATGTTTCCAAATGCAAGAACAAGCTTCCAAGAAGTTATGAAACACTCAAAACTTCACTGGAAAGAGCTCTAAACAACCTGCTCTAAATTCACCCTGTTTGAGCAAGGCATAGACTAGACCACATCAGAGGTCCCTCCCAATCTCTATTATTCTCTTTTTCTATGATTCTAACACAGGGAGATACAAAAAGCAAAAGAAAAAGAGAACAAAAAAAATCAAAACAAACCACAAGTGACCCCATCAAGTGACAGATTAGCACACAGCTCCCTTGCTGATCTGCAAGGCAGTGTAGCATTGCCTTGAGTTAGAGAAGCGCTAGATACTCTCTAGAAGAGAAAGTTTAGATCTGAGATGTGCTGACAATTACCAATCCTTTTCAAACACCTTTAAAACAGAAAGTCCATGAAGTAACCATTCCTATGGTTGAATTCATGACAGAAAAATACATTATTCTGCAACCCGGTTAGCAAGGTAATTATTAATTGCACTGCAACAGATTGCTCTCAGATACTGAAGATGTCCAAGTGTCTCCACTGCAGTCGTTTCCATATTACAACATTTATGTCAGACATAGAAGGAGATACTCATACCTTGCTTTGAAAACACAATTGTTCTTAAAAGCAGCTTTGGAAGAAAGTAAGTTCTTAAAAGAACAATGGTGTTAGCAATGCACAGTACACAAATCATGAGTTCTATTAGGAAATGGGAGTCACCTCTTGCCAATCTACCACAAACTGAATAGCCAGATTATGCCAGGATCCAGAACTCCTAAAATCATTCACAAAGATGAAGGGTGGATGACATTTGTAGACAAACACACGCGTGGACTCATTATAACCAGTGATGAGAAATGGGTGCTATTACATTAGAGCTTGTCTTAGATTCTGTAAGTTCTAAAAGAGAGCTGAGGAATCATGATGGAAGTGTTCAGCATGTAAAGGGAGTCCAGAATGACTAGCCCAGCTGGGTACGTCTATGTGAAGACACCTTCAATTAATCCTGCCCAATGCATTCAGACGGCAGAATTTTTGCACACTGATAACTGATGGGATAAATCCTCTTTCCATCACTCATCACTTGTACAGTAACATACAAGTGGGAGAGACTCATCTCATACCCAGGTGCCACTGAAGGAAAAGGCGAGGGCAACAAAGAACAATCAAGGCAATAAGAAACAGGCATGAGTTCTCCCTTCATGCCTAGCTCCTTTTTATTCCCCTCATCCACCCTCTCTTCCCAACTGACCTCTCAAGTTTCTCAAACAGGGGAAGGCAAAAATGGCATAGAAACGTATGACGTTTCCTCACAAGGTCCAGCATCTACTAAACACAGTGTCTACTCCGTTACCAAGTACCCTCTTCCCTCTCTGTCACAACTATTCCTTTCAATTAAAACGTAATACCCTTCTTCCTCCAGAAAGTTTCCTTATAGTACACAATGCACTTGATGACTGAGCCCATGGGGATTCGATTGATGAGCTGGTTTCTCATTGGGGGTAATGGTGGGTTGAAATGAATCTTCAAACCAAGAGCCGGGGGAATGGCACTGATCACGTATTTGCCCTGGAAAAGAAATTATACATAAGCCAAACAACTTCTCAGAATCACAGAATCACAGAATGGTAGGGGTTGGAAGGGACCTCTGTGGGTCATCTAGTCCAACCCCCCTGCC